AAAAGTTCCATTTTATACATTGATTTTTTTTTTGTATGCAAGATGTATACTTTATAAGCTGTTTGAATCTGCGGTAAATCAGACTTTCTGCAGAACCTGCAGAAGCTTTTTTTATTTTTCTTGATTATTGGCTTGTGATTTTTGGTGGACAAAGAAGAAAGTTGTTAAATGAGTTCCCCTTATTGGCTTTTCTTTTTTTTTTTGGATCCCCAGGCTTTGTGGTATTGGCTCTTTAAAGTGTTAAGTTCGTATATTACTGGTTTGAATTTTATTGCATGCGTGAATAACACATAATCAAATCACTTGTGTTTAAGCAACCATTACTCTTTAGTCTGTAATAATTTTTTTATTGATTGAGGTTCAGCCTTGTGTCAAATGAAAAACTTCACCCATATAGGGGGAGTTAAGAAACCAATGCTTTCTTATTTCCTAAAAATCAGATGCAGAGGACCTTGAGCTTGTCGTTCAGCCTTGAATCTTCCTTGTTGGTTGAGCTCATCCATGGTGTGATTTGATGATCTGTAACAGATGCCAGCTGGTATTTCATCTTGCCATCATTCCAACTTATTCTTTTGCTTGCTAAACATTGGTCCATAAGTACTAACACGCTTTCATTGTTCTGAGCATAATTTGTTATTATTATAAAATGTCCAGAATTGGTGAGATCAAAGGGCTGTTGAGCTCCATAGTCTGTTGAGGGAGAAGAACAGAAGAAAGAGGAGAAGTATTCTGGTAGAAAACTGTATTCTTGTCAACCTGTGCAGGCTGCCCTCCGTGACCATATAGCATACATATTTTTCAATTAGATCTCAGCTTGATTTTTAGTGGGGCAAAAATAGATGTGTGACTAAGACATGTGAGGGAAATTTGGATGACGGTCTTAATGCCCACCTCTGCACGGATTGGCGCTTGTCTCTTGTACCTTGTGGTCGGGAGGGGAACAACCTTGTAAAACATCGTTGCCTTTTTTAATTGGATTATTCATGCTTTAAAAATCAAAATAAAACCCCAAGCCTTACAGACACGGAAGATGTGTCTGCCTCGAAATCAAGCGTCTCCTTTAGAAGGCAACGTTTGTTGGTGATAAAAGATATTTAAGAGCTAAATTTCATGCAGATCCCTACTTTAAAAATAAAGTTGATATTTATTGAGGTGGTTTTCAGAGGTAGAGACAGAGGCATATAAGTGAATTACTTGGTGGTGAAGTTTTACACCGTTTAAGGAGGTAACGCTGCTTCCTTAGGAGCTCCAAATTCATCAGTTAATCACAGTATCTGGCCTTAATTTTTTCTGTTTAGTCGTAGCATTTCTGTGGCGCTCTTTTGAGTTTGCCCTGGGTGCAGTTCTATGTGTCTTTATTCTTAGTATGAAAAAATTCCTGCCTACGTGTCTTTGCCCTCATGCTCCTCTAAGGGCTGGTTCTTTGAGAAGGATAACCAATTTATGAAGAAGAAAATTGTGTTGAGGGTTTTTTTTTAACCTGAATATTGGTGTTCCGGGCAGCGGTCCCACAGAGAAGTGTCTCTGCACAGGTGTGAAGGTGATGAGCTGTGGCAGGAAAGCAAAACTTTGCAAGGGGAAGCCTCGGTGCCAAAGACAACGTATAATAGAGCTTACCCCCTCGCTGCTGCTTTGGAAATAGAAATTGGCCACCAAAGGCTTGCTTATGCCATAAACAAGCACTCTAGTTTAGTTAAATGACGCTTAATTTAAAAAAAAAAAAGGGGGGGGGGGAAATTTTAAGGAAAAAAAAAAAGGCTAA